ATTTGTTATTCCTTACAAGAGGTGTGATAGAGCTTCCAAGTCCCTACTCTCGGTTAGGGACTGGCATTCCCTACTTTTATGTGACAATTTGGTAGTTGAACTCGTATCTCTGAAGCCTAGGTCGATCGTGGTTTCAACTAACATAATCATATTGAGTTCAGTGACTGTCAATCATTGAAGTGATCGTTGCACAAGCTTTATAATCTGACAGTGGATGTGGCATAGTCAAAGGAGGGGCACCTTCACTACACTTGCCACCCAGTGATCCATGTCCTAATAACATCGTCCGTCACTTGTCTCTGATCCCCAGGTGCAGCATGCCCTGCACCGTCAACTCCTACAAAAACCAATTCATGGTCCCTGCTTTGTTTCCAGAACCCTTTGTCATGATCCCAGGGTTTCCATTGTGCAGCTCGGTATCCAGCTTGTCCACTCCACGGCAGAGAGTCAAACGCCCAGACCTGCCCCGGTGTATTAACGATATAATCTTCATTCCCATTCAGCACCAGCACACGTATTCCTGATTCCAAAATTCTAGTTATGTAGGGAATCTGAGGTAGGAATTCTGATTTACTAATCGCAAAGCCCATGTTGAGGTCAAGATTGACGGCCTGGAAATGGAAATCTGCGGGAAACTGCAATGCTTCGAGAACCTCGGGTTGAGAAACGTAGTTAGAATAATTTCCTATTGTCTCATCCCAACAGAATGGATGATTTGTGCATGGAAGGTGTACTAATATACATGTCAGTGATATTACACGTTGAGGGGTTATCGTGCGATCTTGGAAACTCACTGTTGTATGGACTTTTCTTGCCAGCTTCCTGCTCTGCTTCGTAGAATGCCGCTATCTCTGTGATACAATACAGCGCGGCCCCAAGACAAGTATTGGCGTCCCCTGTGCGGCGGCAGTCTCGTCCCAGTTGCTCGCACTCAGGCATCGCAACGGCAATCTGCGCACAGACAGACTGATTGAAGACATCGCCGCGGAAGTCGGAACATAAGAGTTCCCATGACCCAACGGATGGAGCTACAACATCGACGGGAGCGTTGATGAGAATGATCGAGCTGATGTTGCCAGAAAATGCGGCTTTGGAGTCTCGAGTACGATCTTCTAACAGGTGATTCACCAGGGTTGGAACGTAGTGCCCACCATAACTCTCTCCTGCCACATGAAGTGAGAGTGAAGCTTTGTCAGGGAAGATGTGAGCAAAGAATATGTTGATGAAGAACGCAAGATCGACAGCAGACTCTTGATCTGACTTAGGATATGGTGAACCGGGAACAACAGAAGACAAACCGGTTCCAGCGGGCTGATCGATGAAGATCACCGAAGCATTGTTGTTCCAGCTATAGGGATTGGGACTTGTGTCCTTGCTATCTTTGGTCACGATACAGGGACCCATTTCGGTGAAGAGTCCCATCATAGAAGATCCTCCCGGGCCGCTGGAATAGGTCAGCTTGCGAAGCTCAAGAAGGCGTTTGTCGCAGTGTACTCACCCGTTCAGCCATATGATAATAGGGTCGTTTTCGGGATCATTGCGGCTATCGAAATACCAGTAGAAAAGACGTCTTCGATCTGTTACATCTACAGTACCTGTCCATTGCCCTTCTCCGTAAGTTTTACAGATGTCTCCATGCTGCTCGTGTTTGGTGAAGTTCCCGGGTTGAAATAATTGAAAGGAGCTCCGATGATATGTCCCTAAGGGAACTTGTTGCTTGTGATGATTGCTTGAAATCCGACCAAGCTCGAAATCTGAGGACCTTGGGATAAACAGTGAAGCCAAAGCAAATTGAGCAGCCAGACACGCCCAAGAGAGAACCAACCGAGGTGGGGCCATTTTCCAAGTCAGATATGGTGGGCGACGTCAGCAGTACAGTCTCTACAGCCACCGCACGCTGAGCGCTGGCCAAGGCTTGCGAGCGTTTGGCTGCAAGGAGTAGGGACTGATGGCCTTATCAATAGATGACAGTCTATTGATGTAAATTAATTGACTAGATGGTGCAGGATATCTCAAAAAAGATTGATGCTTTGTGAAGTCTCACTTGGATGCAGCCGCCTTGAGACTAAGCCAAATAAGGCATGCGGGAGCGCCAGAGACTAGAGATGTGGGGGCCACATTGGTGGTATCTACCAGAATGCAATGCTCCTGTATCATGCACACCACCCAGAGTCCATTTGCTATTAGATTGGTGAAACGTCGGCTTTTCGCTGTCAATTAAGCTGGCTTCAGGTATATGACCTAGAAGCCTCCCCAAATTTGGTATGAGTTGTCACTTTTATTCATGCAGGGACCGCCAGACGACCGACACTAGAGCAAGGACGGAGGAATTTGCAAATGCACGCCAAAAAGTTTTGTTTCTTAGCCCTTTGGGTGTCAACCGGACTTGCGGCGTACACACGAGTACCGTCGCGATATAAGAGCTCTACCGACTCAATTCGTTATAAGAGGTTCGAAGATGGTGCTCTCTGCAATGGCGGCACAGAACACTATGCCGGCTGGGCCGACATTGGTGATAGGCACCTCTTCTACTGGTATCAGCCTACCAGAAGCTCTGAACCAGCACCACTCTTAGTGTGGCTCCAAGGAGGACCAGGTGGAACTTCAATGATGGGGCAGTTTGTCGAAAATGGCCCCTGCGTAATTGACCCCCAAACAAACACATCGACAGTCTTCAACCCCTATTCATGGACCGAGTTCTACAATGTCATCTACCTTGATCAGCCTGTACGTGTGGGCTACTCGTACAAACCAAATAGCAGCAGTCCTCTACCGCACCATGCCGAGGAGTCTGCCATTGATTTCATCCGGGCTCTACGTCTGTTTCCAGATGCGTTCCCCGAGCTTCAGGGGCAGCCGCTCTATATTGCTGGAGAAAGCTACGCCGGACGCTGGGTACCCGTCTACGGAGCTGCAGTTCTTGAATACAATCAACAAGTAGCAACTGCTGCCGATAAAATCCCATTGAAATCGATCATGGTTGGCAATGGACTGACGAATTTCAAGGAACAGATGCCGTCACTCTATGATGTGGGATGCTTCACATTTGATGGCATTGGTCCCATATTCAATGAGACCACCTGCGGTTCGATGGCAGCTTCGGTAGACCGGTGTGAAAGACTGTCTGAGGCATGCGAGAATAATTCGGATGATCTGATTTGTGCGGCTGCTAACAAGTTCTGCTCTGACAATCTCTGGTGGATCATTGACCAGACCCTTGTTAACAGGTACAATCGTGTTGAGGAGTGCCAAGCACCAGGAGAGTGTTATGATGTCGCTGATCACCTCTCGGAGTGGATAAACTCTGGAGCGGTGCGAGACGCGTTAGAAATAGCCTCAGAGACGAGCACTGCCGATCACAATGTGACATTCGGATTGGAGAGCAAAGACATAATGGAATCATATTTGGCATCTGGGGATATAGCCGTCAGCTCTGTGCCAGCTTTAACGGCTATCCTAGAGAGCTCAGAAGTCGATGTTCTGTACTATGTTGGTATCCAGGACTGGATCTTCAACCCTCTCGGCATCCACCGTATGCTCGATGCGCTGCGGTGGAAGAGACATCCTCAATTTAGAACTTCACGCTTTGAATATCTGCCGTGGAAAAATAACAAAGGTGAAGGTGCTGGAAGAACGAAAGCGGTTGAGGGACTACATTACGTTGAGTTGACTAGTACAGGCCACCTAGTAAGTTCTTCTCATATTGGCAAGTAAGTGTAGGACTAATAGTACTAGGCACCCTATGATCAACCAGAGTCACTTTTCAATCTTGTGCGGACCTGGAGAGAGCGCGTTGAAGGGAGGCGTACGAACGGTGTAGGAGGAATGTTCACTCAGGCTGGGGATGGACCGAGCGACTTGTAAATCGAGACTGTGCATCTATTATTGACTTACTAATTCAAATCAAAAGATTCGCATTTGTCGCATCGTCTATACCAGTTACCTATCAAACAAGCGTACCAAGTCTGCCGTTGAGCGCTTATTAAACTTGAAAATATGCATTACACTGCTCAAGTCCGGATTCATGGCGCTGTTATAGCATGCTCCAGATGGAAAGCTAGTGCCCAATTGGGGAATTTGCGCGCGCTCGTCTAGAAGTGGAAATCCTCGCGCGCATAACCTCCATTTATCGGCCATGGATCATGAGAGCCTGTTCAAAACTCCACACAAAGGTACTCGAGAAATGGCGCATTGGTAATTGGATTGGAAGTCTGTCAAGGATTAAGTGACTCGCTCCGAGCATTGTTTCTAATGGCTGGCATACATAAATAGCTCGTCACCAAAACCTCAAGAATGTCTTCAGACACCTCTGATGAGAAACCGCATAACCTGAAAACAAAAGTCAATCTCCGTTAGCTCAAAATGATGAATGTTGTGGTTGCTGGCGGACTTGGTGGTGTTGGCAGAGCCATAACCGAAGCGCTTCTGAGAAGCCCTAAACACCAAGTCAGCGTGCTTTCAAGAAAGGTGAAGTAGCCTTCATACAAAATAGCCCCCTTCTGCTAACGAAAGTACAATAGGCCATTACTGATGTTGTTGCTTTCCCTGTATCGGTTGTCGATTATAGTGATGTCGATCATCTAGCCGAAGTTCTTCAATCCAATAACACTCACACGGTCATCTCCGCCATTCGTGTTACAGACAAAGATGTTGGCCAGGCGGAGATCAATCTTGTGAAGGCAGCCGACATGTCAAAGCCAACGAAGCGCTTCATCTCAAGTGATTATGGTGGCATGTGGCCGGACCCGTGAGTATTGATCATTGCGTAGGAGGTTCAATTGCTGACCCTAGGAGCTAGGCAATATCGAGCCCCTTTTATCAATGCTCGTCTCGCGACAGTTGATGCTCTTCGATCAACGAATCTCGAATTTACAACTTTCCACAACGGCCCAATGATAGATTTCTTTGGGCTGCCAGGACTTGGATCATACCTCAACCCAATAACACTTTGGTTCGACCTAGCAAATAAAAGGGCGACAATCCCTGGTACCGGTGATGACATGGCTGCATTCACTTACAGCTTGGACGTGGCTAAGTTTGTGGTGGCGGCATTGGACCTGCCTCGTTGGGAAGATGAGTCACTTATCTACGGAGATAAGCTCACGTTCAATGACATCCTAAAGCTTTATGAAGCAAGAGGTGCGTGACATTCTTTGAGACCATCCTTGGTGCTTGATGCTGACTCAATAATTCAGGGGAGAAGTGGGCGGTTACATACGACAGCTTTGAGAAGCTCGAAAAGGGAGAGTTCACTGAACTCCCTTCTCATGTGCCGCTATATAAAAGTCGCCCGAAACAGGTACTGCAGGCCGTCCTTGCCAACTATTCGATTTCAGTCATCAAAGGTTTCTGTGATATTTCTGAGGATGAGAGCTTGAACAAGGTGTTTCCGGATATCAAAACAACCCCGGTCAAAGATGCAATCGATGCGTGGTTTAAACACAAACAGACCGAGGCTGAAGTCTAAATATGGCTTTCATAGCTGTAATAGGTGAAACATGTCACAGACCCTTGAATATATCGAGTGGTAGTTGCACAGAAACGACTAAGAGGATCATTTGTGGCTCATGTCGTTCCGGCAAGAATTCGTAAATATTCCGCAGGATAAGATACTATCAGAAGAGTCACCAATGACGAGACTCTTGTCAGATCAAGAGACAGGGCGCTCCTAGAATGCGTAGACATTCCGAAATATCCCATGTGCTATGATCCAATGCGTCGCGCCGGCTCCAGACTGCCTCCATGATCCGCCCTGAGGTGCGCAGCAAATCTCCAGCCCCTGAAATGATGTTGCGAAAGCTCTGCTCCTGCTCACCTGGATCAGCCAAACATCCCGCAATACAAATAGGCCAAGCAAAAGTCCGTATCTGAGCGGAACATTTGACATCCTGAAGCAGACTAAGAACCATTTTCACATTGTGGCGAATCTCGGCGTTTGATGATTGCCATCCAGACACAGTGACATACAGATATATCAAGATTGCGTAAGTCCAGATTCGCGTAGGAGTTACCGAGAGGCCGGCGTCTGACTTAGGCAGGTCAATGTCATAGTAGGGCTGTAAGCGACTGATGTTAACAGTGCGTAAGGCCGATGAAGGTGTTGTGCGATTGAGGCGCTCTAGACCTCTAGTCAAGGAGTCAGATATTCTGTCTGCACGCCCAACTAGCTCAGGAACGGATAGTCTGCCAGCCGTTTGCATTTCTTTCTTCCAAGCTGCCAACGACGACGCTTCACCCAAGGCGCATACTACCCAGTTGTGGCAGCCGACAAAGGATGCCAGATCCAGTAGTGTATTCTCATCACGATTGCTTGGGTCTTGAAGAAGGCTAGAGTGATAATCCTTGAGACGAGGAGGCTGCTGCAACGACGTGCTTGCTATTATGTCGATGAACAGTATCACCGCCGTGAAGAATCTGAAGGCAGCTTGATCAGGATTCCATCCGAGACGTCGAGTGTGGATTGGAGTGTCCGGCTTTTCTATGCTCAGACTTTCTAAAATAGAGCGGAAATCACCCGCACCGTCTCCCGCTGCTTGGCCTTGTACGATCTGCTCAAACAGAGTTATGGCGGGATTGAGATGCATCTCCCAATCACCAGAGACCTGGATGAACATTTCAAATATCAGTAACTGGATGATACTCTCCATGACACGGGCCTTTTCCACTACGGTGGCTTGAGAATTTGATTGATTGATCTCACGAAGATCTCCTTGAATCTTCTCAAAGCACTTGTCCGCCTCTTCCACAACTTGTAGCCAAACAGACGTCTTGCACTGATTCTTGGCGTCCGGGAAGACATCGTTTAGGGCAACTGTGAAAAAATACGAGCTCAGGCTCTGTGCTGAATGGAGTACGGCTTTATTTGCTGTGAGAAAGGGCAAGAGCCAGCTCCGACTTTCCATGGGAGCCCGGTAGAAGGGGAATAAAAATGGAAAATCATAATCCAGGTACATCATAACCAACTCCAAATCGAAATCCTGGCCTAATTCATTCAGAGAAACAGCTGCAGACCCTATGGTAGAGGGACCTGGATATTGCCTCCGAAGTGGAACAGAGTCTCCATCTGAATATGACGCGGATATGTATTTCGTGCGCTTCGATATGAGTATAGGTGCTGATAATCCATCCCTCGGAACACCTTCCGCAGCGGGTACTGACCTTTGCGTCTCAGTGGTACTCGGCCGGGGAGCACTGCCCTCTATTTGTGCTGCACTAACCGGAACTTGTAGTGGAAGTGGTTCAGGCGGGGTCTGCAATTCATCAGTGTTGTAGTTCTGTTCTGAAGTGACGATGAATCCCCGAATTTGCGTGCCTCGCCTCTCACGACGACCAACTGAGCTCTCTTTGATCTGACTTTTGAGCTCGCGGGCTTTCTCTCTTTGCCTTGGTCCGCCGTCCATCCACATGGGCTTGCTGGCATCGGTGTGACACGGGATTTCTAACCCAGAGCAGCTGCTGCACACCGGCCGGTTCCCGTCGCATTTCTTCCGGCGGAGCCGACAGGTCCAGCAGCCCAAGGGTCGGCCCCCCTGCTGCCTTGCGCGACCGACCATCCGGAAAGGAAAGATGACGCAGAGATATTCCCGTCTCTAAAGCGCTTAAATCAAGGTGTCAAGGCGGGTTGCGTGGTCTCCGGTAGTCGCTAATATTAACGGCATCGGGAATGTTTTCGAGGGGACGCATTTTGGGGATGGAAATCTCAGTTGGAGGGGCACTGACAAAATAGCTTTCTTTAGTAAGCTGAATAGCAGTCACAACACTGACTTTCTGAGAGATCCGCATCTCTAAGTTAAGCCAACTCCGGACCAAACAGCCTAGTGTATGGAAGACTAGTCTACACACAAACAATGCCTTCAGTTGTCTGGAGCATAGGTATTCTGGCAACTCCGGTGGCATGCTGCATTGCGCATCGTGTGTACGGATGGTGGACATGCAAGAGTTTCTCTCAGCTACTTCTCCTAAAATCGATGTTGGCGTCCTACAGCGATTAGCTCCGCCACTTTACAGGTCACAATAGTTGAGCTCCGGGCTTCAAGGTTAGAGCCACCGCCAATAATCAGGCTCAGACGTATCTATCTTCTTGCTCAGCGGCGAGGAAACTCCAAATTCCAGTCGAACTAACATCTTCATCACTGAACTTTGACAAGTATTAAAGACTTAGCACAGACCGTTTCGCAGCTTGAAAATTACATTTTCTTGGCAACTAATCGACATTGAAGATGTAACCAAACGCTAAATCCGCCTGATTAGCTCTTCATCCAATGTTGGTGTGTTATGTCTGTGAACGTAGTCTTGTGATGATCCACTCTTGTATTAGGCTGGGCTCGGTAGTTGATGCTGGACTGATTATGAAAGGCAGCAATATTAATAGTCTTGCGTCTAGTTGACGAAAGTCGGGCACAGCACATCACAAAAACTCCCATTGGCCGACAGGAGTGAGGGGCGTTACACTTTAATCTACTTCCCCAGACTTACCCGCAACAATCGTGCAAGTGCCATCGGTAATAAACATATACCGACGCCGGCCCTAGGGAAAGGCGTGAATTCTTCAGGCTAAAGACTATTCTTGGCAGTAACAGAAGATTGCTGTGATAGCTATTCTTTATAAAGGAGCGAATAAGTGCCATAGTCGTATGAGAATGGACGAAGAGGGGATTACTATAGAGCCACTCCTACGATGATGACCTCAACCCTGTTTGCCGTACTTCTTTCTCTGGTGCCGTTGACGCTAGCTGCGTCAGGTGTGGGTGAAGTAAACAATGGAGTTCTTGATATGAGGGATGTTCAGGCCGGTCCGTACTTCTGGTCCTCCTGGCAGGAAGGCAACGGCAACTTTAGGTGCAATAACGGTGCTGGTGGCCAGTACAGCGTAACATGGTCAGGCAATGGCGGATTTGTGTGCGGAAAGGGCTGGAGTCCTGGTGGAAACAGGTGAGTTGAATTCTAGTAGAGATCGAGATGGCTTGTCCCAAGCACTTATCTAACGTATATCGATAGAGCTGTCAAGTACAATGGGACTTACAGCCCAACCGGTCCAGGATACCTCTCTGTGTACGGCTGGACAAGGAACCCTCTCATCGAGTATTACATTATGGACGCACATGGAGATCTTGCGCCCAACGAGCCGTGGACTTCCAAGGGCAATTTCACTTTTGAGGAAGGCACATACGAGATATACACTAGCACTCGCACAAATAAGCCGTCCATTGTAGGCACGGCCACTTTCCAGCAGTACTGGTCTGTTCGCACGGAGCAGCGTATTGGTGGCACAATCACGACTGGTAAACATTTTGATGCTTGGAACAAGGCAGGGATGAGGCTTGGAAATCATGACTACATGATTGTTGCGGTGGAAGGTTATACTAGCAACGGAAAGACAAGTAGTGGAACTGCTTCAATAACTGTGGATTAGGTTTTTGTCGAGGATGTCATATTGTTATGAGTTGTGGTCACTGATCAATGGTCTAAGAGGCAGATAGTCAAGTTGCGGTAAAGATATAATCTCACGCCTCCAAAGCCAGAAATAAATACAAGTTATCACTGTTGAATAATCACAAATCATTGTAATAGAGCCGAAGTGAGTTTCTCTCAGGGCCAGAATCTTTGCAGGTATCTAGGTAGCCTATCGCAGCCTATCAAGGCTTATCAGCTGTTCCAAGGTTCTCGACCCAATGTGGAAGCCACTGTGAGCGCTGAGTGGACTCGCTGATTGGCGCTTGCCTTGATTAGCTTTAGCAAGCGTCGCGCAGCAACCAGCTGCCAACAGCCTGGTGAGGCGATGTCGGATCACGAGCCCACAGCACTAGGTACTCTAGGCTAGCAGCCATAACGTCAACTGCAAATGCGACTCTTCATTTCATCACCAACCAACCGTTCGCTTCACTACGCATCATCCATCTTCCTCTTCCTCTTCCTCTTCCTCGCCTCTATCCCCGGTCTCTGAGAAGAAGCGGCTTTACGGTGCATTGACCCGACCCGACTCTCAAGATGGCGGGCTTCGCACGGCTAAATCTGGCCGGTCTAGCGGTGCTCGGCGGCGTGTCCGCTTTCCGCTTCCAGCTGCCGTTCTTCCAGGACCAGGCGCCGCTCGTCGATGCCGGCGTCAACCCCAACACCAACACCAACATCAAGCCGCTGATCGACTCGGAAGCGCTGCAGGCCAGCATTTCGAGTGACAATCTCCTAGCACGCGCAAAGGAGCTTTACAAGATTGCCAAGCTCGGGGAGGATGAGTACAACCATCCCACGCGCGTGATCGGTAGTGAAGGTGAGTTGGCCACGCTGCATCTGCATCCTCACTCCGCCATCCGGCATGAGGCATAAGGCATAAGGCTCATCGGCGATACAGGCCATCTTGGAACGGTTGCATACATCTACTCAAGCCTGGCTGAACTCGGCGACTACTACTCACTTTCTAACCAGTCTTTCCCCGCCGTATCAGGCAATGTGTTCGAGTCTCGCTTAGTCATCGGCAATGATGTCCCGAAGACGGGATCCCCGATGAGCTTGACTCCTCCCACCAAGAACAAGGAGCCGGTCCACGGCGACTTGGTCTTTGTCGAGCATGATGGGTGTGACGCATCGGACTACCCTGAGTCCGTCAGTGGAAACATCGCTTTCATCCGCCGTGGCACCTGCGCCTTCGGCACCAAGTCCGAGAATGCTGGCAAGGCTGGTGCTATTGCGGCCATTGTCTACAACTACGAGACAGATGAGGTACACGGCACTCTTGGCTCACCATCCCCAGATCATGTTGCCACCTTCGGCCTTTCTGGAGAAGAGGCTGGACCAATCCTCAAGAAGCTCAAAGACGGCGAGACTGTTGACGCCATTGCTTACATTGATTCAATCGTTGAGACGGTAGACACGACCAACATTATTGCCCAGACGGTCGAAGGTGATCCCGACAACTGCGTGATGCTTGGTGGACACAGCGACAGCGTAGCTGAGGGCCCCGGTATCAACGATGACGGCTCCGGCAGCCTGTCGCTTCTCGAGATCGCCACTCAACTCACAAAGTTCAGCGTCAAAAACTGCGTCCGATTTGCGTGGTGGGCCGGTGAGGAGGAAGGTCTTCTCGGCTCAGACTACTACGTTGAGGTCTTGCCCGAGGAGGAGAACTTGAAGATCCGTCTCTTCATGGACTACGACATGCTTGGCAGCCCTAACTTCGCATACCAGATCTACAACGCGACCAACGCTGTAAACCCAACTGGCTCAGAGGAGCTTCGAGACTTGTACGTCTCATGGTACGAGGATCACGGGTTGAACTACACATTCATTCCCTTTGATGGCCGCAGCGACTACGATGCGTTTATCCGCAACGGCATTCCTGGAGGTGGTATTGCTACTGGTGCCGAGGGTATCAAGACGGACGAGGAGGTCGACATGTTCGGAGGCAATGCTGGGGACTGGTACGATCCTTGCTATCACCAGCTTTGCGACGATGTCGGCAACGTCAACTTGACTGCATGGGAGCTTAACACCAAGGTATGTTCACTGAACCGTCGGTATGATCTGTCACTAATTCCATGTCATAGCTTGTTGCGCATTCGGTTGCCACCTATGCCCTCTCTTTCGATGGCTTCCCCAAACGGGAGAAGGATGCTGGCCTGGCTAGCGTCTACGAGCAGACAACGAAGTATCACGGACGGAAGCTTTTCATGTAATATCGAACTGGCTCTTCCCGACGTTTGTACGATTGGCGTCAGAGTAGAGGTTAGCATACTGGGACTGGAGACTAGACGCATTTCGTAAAGGCGCTTTCTGTTGTTAAATAGGAATAGAATTCTTGAAATTAGACCTTTGGCTCTCTTCCGGCCAGCAAACCTCACGGCTTTTTGCCCCAGACAAAATGAATGGGAAGGTAGAGATGATTGGATGAGTCTTTGAAGTCTCTCTTCACCCTAGCCATTAATGCTTCTATCTCCAGGTCGTTCCACCCGAGTACCCGTGCGGCGATTGCGGGGGTGTACGAGTCGACCCCTTGCAGCTGTTGGAACAATTGGTAACTGCCAAGCTGCTTCAGTTTTGGATCTTTTGGCCATGTTCCAACCGGCAACTGATCACCGATTAGTATGCCGTGGGAGACCTGACCCTAAGTAATATTGAGACCAACCTTGAGGATCTTCTCTTGCACATCCACGAAACCAGCAGCCTCCAACTTTCCTTTCCAGCGCGGTGCGATATCCAGCGGTTTGCCAAACCTCGATGTGCCTTCCAAAAGAGTGTCAAGCCAAAACTTGACCTCTTTCGCCCTCTCAAGAGTGCCGTCATCGGACGCAAAAATGGTAGACGTAGCTTGCATTTCGATATACCCACCGGGGTTAAGATGCTCGAACGCCCTCTGGAATAGCTTGTCGTCCTTGGCAATGCAGCCCTCTAGCTCGCGGCCGTGTATGAAATCAAAAGGTTTGCGGTACACCCACTCTTCTTCAAAGTCATCAACCTCAAATATGCAATTTGGAGGGGTCCTGTGCAGCTTCCATTAGCAATAGTTCTGTAATGTTTTACTGACATTTTGTAGATGTTGTTTTCGAAAATTGGAAAATCTATACCATTTAGGCTGAATGGGGCTGAGATCAATCCCCAGTACTTCTGCGCTGGGGTATTCGCTAGAGATATCTGTTAGGCGGCTTATATCATTCACCGAGAATACCTTGGACTGTGTAAACATACTCTGCAAAATCCATTGCCCATATTCCTGTTCCAGTACCCAAATCAAGAACACGCTGTGGAGTTTCACCAATTGGGGCCAAGTGCAACTTGCCACCAAGGAGGAGACGGTAAACATGATGCAGCAGGTCCATTCGGTCTTGCTCGTCCTGATCGTTTGGCTATTCTTCTATTAGAGACACTTTTTCCGTCTTAGTAGTAAGTACCCAGGTGTGGACTAACCATCAAGTACGCCCCTGCGCGAAAAGCATGGTAGCGACGGCCATTCTAGTGGATGATTAGCTTTCAACAGTAAAAAGCATTGGTGTCATTTTCATCACTAACCTCATACCTAGGCATGTGAAATTGGGTTAGAGACAGATTGTAAGCCGAAAACAGCTTGGTGAGCACTTACGTGTAGTCTACAATGCTTGAACTCAGTGATGTCATATAGCTGGATGCCTCCCTATTCCGTTCATCATATGAGCGTAAGATCTTAAATGCTGCTTTTGATTAACTAACGAGTCATTATAGGTCGAATCTCGATCGTCTGAACTATCCTGAATATAACAGAATGCGTTAACTTCGTAAGCGCGTTAACCGAGCCTCAGACGAGTTTCAAATACTCACATCTGCCTGTAAATATCCCTCACCGATCAGACCCGGGGCTGGTGGCTCTGAGCCCTGCGCATGTACCTCTTGTGCCTGCTGTTCAGTCATCTCTCAAAAGCGTTCGTGAATGGCAACACAGAAAAGAAATGAAGAGTTGCTCAACTCCTAGCTCTCTCAAACTCATATCCCCGCACATAGTCCCCACCTGAGCGGATTGGCCTTGAGAACATCTATCCCGGTTTTGCAGCTGCATCACGGTGGTGAAAGCTCCACAAGAACATAATTCTTACCAATGAAACCGAGGACAAGGCAACGCTGACCTGCACGCGATGCATCTGACCGACCTTCCCTGCGCTTAGTACACGTGTACAATGTGAGCACAACATCCTTCGCTGCAGGGTCCAGCTGTCAATGAGTCGAAAGCAGTGGGTTGCCAAGCTGCCCCTCATACGACATCTTCTGACCGGCAGTTGCAATGTCTAGAACGAGATTCAGTACACACCATCGACAGATTTTGGACATGATGTGGAAACTCGCCATCGTTCGAGACAGGGGGTCTCCAGAGCAATTAATGAATTCAAAGAAGCCTGCTTTGGTTTTAGAGCATTTGCAGTTTGCGCTCTTATCGGCATTGAGCATCTCTTTTCAGCATGCGAGTTCGGCTCGGCCCGCCTGTCACATCTGCTCGAAGGAGTTAGCCAGTGGGAACCGCCAATCCGTAGTGCACAAATGTACCCAACCGGAACCAACCCGCTCGCGCCGGGAGACATCTCACAACAAGTCGAGTAGCATTTGAATTGGAGTTGATAGTAAAGGCCTGAATTGATATTCCGAAAACTAGTTTAAAGAGTGTATTTCGTGCCTCCAAATATCGGAACCATTTGATTTGGCATTTCGTCGTGTATCATATACTTGAATCGCCAGCCCGTGCAGTGACCAGGCATGAGAACTTGTGGGTTCAATGCTTTCAGGTCATCCATGGACTTTCTCAATTTCTCCGGGTCTGCATCTGCAAGGTGATATCCACCAACAATTGCATAAAGAGGGGCATGGCCCCCGATTTCCTGTGCATGTCTTGCTGTGTTGACCACGCCTGGGTGGCTACAGCCTGTGAACACCACAAGTCCCTTTCCTAGAGGGTGGTATCAGCACATTGCATATGTTCGCAGAACGCGCCAGCAACTCACCTTTGATATTACACATGAGAAGTCTTTCATCAAGTATCATCTCATCGGCCTCCCATTTGCCACTGCTAGTGTTGAGTCGAATACCACCTGGAATACCTAGCTCGTAGTCCGATGTTCGTGGAATGGCACCAGACACAAGAAAGGTATCTTCCAATATTGTATGAACCTGGTCGGCTTTGAGTAAAAGACCACCAACAGCCTCAATATCCTTGAATGTTGGGTCGGCTTCTAATGCTATAGGCACCTGAGTCGGAGTCATAATTCCACGGTAATCTGGTCGATCCGGATGAACGTCCACCACGACTTCTGCCTGGTTCTTCGCCGCGTTTATCATCTGTATGGCGCGGAGAAGGCCACCTGTATGATCACGATGCCAGTGTGATAGCTGGATATACTCGACTGATGCCAAGTCAAGTCCTAACCTGGTCGCATTCCGCTCCCAGACATCATCCTCGGGTCCGGCATCGAAGAGAAGAGTATGTTTCTTCGGGCCCTTTGTTGCAGTCTATGATATAATGAATCAACAAACCCAATCTCGATGTTCTGCACATACTTACGATTAGAGTGGAAAATCCATGTGCTCCACAGCATATGTTGTCCATTCGCATTTGAGATTTAGCTCCGCCCAAGTTTGTGTCTTCTGACAATGGTGTGAGGGTTACTCCCATGAATGACCCTGCATGCTTGACGACAGGGTGAGGGCTGTGAGATATCAAGTCAATCTCGTCGTTCACAATAATTGTGACCTCCACGGAGTCTACTTCGGTTAGATTGTATGCGGCCATTACGATAGTAATGTCGAGTGCGAGTCGATAAGAATATGATTAACATCCAGTCAGCCGTCTCTTTATTTACTAATGTTCTTTGGCAGTTAAGTAGGCATGTACCCCAAGCGTCGACTTTAATCTCGTATTGTGCTGCAGATGCCCGCCGGGTTTGGGGTCGGCTCTGACGCCACGCTAAACATATCAAAGCCGACAACAGCGGAACTATTTACTGATTTCTGTGGGCACGCCACAAACCCACAAGGCTTGAGAGAATCAGGACATCCTAATGCATCACGAGAACAGTCTGGCGTGGAGCGTTCTTGTGGTAGTGGGGCAAGAGCCCGAAGTAATCGGCGACGTTAACTGGATCTACACCTTCTCTGCTGGGGATGCGAACGGCTTCCTGCTTGATAGAGGAATCCGAATCATCTCACGCGTAATTCTTATCTAACTATGGAGATCATTCTAGTTAGTGAAGGCTTTCAATACTTTCTCAAAACGCTGTGTCTCATGTGGCGTATTGCATCATAAACCTCTTTGGATTTCAAGATGACGATTACACATTGCCCTGTACCACTAAAGCACATGTTACGATTGCTCACGAAGCCCATAGAGATGGGAGAATATAATTTCAATTATATGTTTACACGCAAAGAAGGCCATCTAAAGCATGTGAGATGTTTCAAAGGTCAGTAAATTTGGGGTTAAAAGCCATGGGTGCCTCCAAGATGCTTGGCTCGCGGCGTTCCGAACAGGCGCTCGGCCACGCCAAGTGAGGCTAGACCGAGCAACCAGTCCTCTAGCGTATCATAAGGACACCACGCCAGTGGCAAGCAAGACTGCAGGGAATTTGTCTCGTTGACTTGCTAAGAGGAAGGAACAAGGACCATTGGGACAATAGTTGAGGAAATTGCACTTTGATTTTGATGTTTGTTTCTTCAAGTTTCCTCGTGCGGTCGGATTATGCATATTTTAAGAAGATTTTGAGTTAGACTAGTCGTGATAGTTACAGGTTGTGCTCCTTCTGTCGCCCAAAGAGGGAAAAGCCAAAACGCCGTCGTTTCATTGGTCCCGATAACGCCGCAGCCTAATTTCGAGCAACCCCTGCGCGCAGGCGGCGCGCCATCTTTAGTGTATCACAATCAAGATGCGGCTCCTGACGTTCCGAGGTGCCACATGTTCAACTCTGCTCGTGAGAACGTCGCACTGAGCTTGCAGACAACATGATACTACATCGTTGGCTGCTCATGTGAGTAACTCTGTATTATTTCGGACCTCGCAATATGGATGAATCGTTGCGAGACAGGACTCCGCCCAAGCGGAAGGCGAAGGATGAACTCGTGGAAACGCACTTGTCACACATCAAGAAGCAGGGCTCCAACCAGAACGCGCCTCGGCCAGTGAAGCAGCCCGTGCTATCTGAAGCGTACCCAGCTAGTATCCGATCAATCCGCGACCTTGAGATAGTAAGTATACGGCCCGTCCCAAGGAGACAACCCTAGATAAGGATAGCTGAAAAGATGTACAGATTCCACTAAGCGAGCTTCGGGTTGAGGCGCATCATCGTGGTCAAGGAATCATCGTGCGAACTATTACAGCACCGTATCATGGAGCCGCCGCAGTGTCAGTTGTGCTAGATGAGAACGGGAACGCGGACAAGCTCGCGTTATACAACCATAGTGATGCGTCAATTCTCTCCAACGTGCCTGAGGGCTGTATTCTTGCCGTCAAAGAGCCATACTACAAGTATAACGGTGCAAAACATGATTACATGATATGCGTCGACCACCCATCAGATGTTGTACTCCTTCGGTTCAATGATTCAATAATTCCTGCAGCTTTGCGCATGGGAGTTGATGAGGTCATGAACAAAACGTCAATCGAGTGGAGAAGTGCGGGTGACCGGGCGTTCCTTGAACGCGATCTGCCTACTGCGGTCTTTTGGTACGTAAAAGGTCATGGTGCTAACAGTCCGGGTTTAATGAAAGAATGTGCTCGTACTGACCTAGTATGTAGTTACACTGAGGCTTTGGAAGCTAGTAACTCTGAAGATATAGCGTCTAGGGCCGGTCTATATTCTAAACGCGCTGGAACCAACCTCGTACTTGGCAAATATGACGCTGCGAGGGATGACGCATTGGCATCTAAACGGGGAGAAGCCACGGACTGGAAGGCATACTTCACCGCGGGCAGAGCGGCGTATGGGTTATGTGACTACAGGGCGAGCCGCGAGTACTACGAGGCCGCGCTTGAACTGAATGCCAAGGGTCCTGGTCTGCAACGAGAATACGATCGCTGTCTTGCACGGCTTCGTGAAGAGGCTGAGGGCGTCTTTGACTTCAACAAGATGGTCGAGACAGTCAGTGTGCAAAACGTTCACCTCGACAACGCCACTTATGTGGCACCAACCTTCGTTGCCGACTCGCCCACACACGGTCGTGGTGTATTTGCAAAACGGGATATAAAGGCAGGAGAACTTATCTTTTGCGAGAAGGCAATTCTCATGCCGAATCAATACCAGCCAAATCAAGCGTCCGCAGCGCTTTACGCAATGGTCATCCGCCAGCTGTACGACAACCCTTCAATTGCACCATCTGTCCTCAGATTACACGGTGGTGATTACGAACGGTCTGGAGCAGAAGGATCTATAGTCGACGGGGTTCCCGTTGTTGATGTGTTCTTGCTCGAGTCGATTCGGCTAAAGAATTGCTTCAGCAGCCCCTTGTCTACGCTCGAAGACACGAAGCCTAACACTGAGGCTATGCGCATGGCCAAGGGTATCTGGACATATGCGAGCTACATGAACCACTCATGTGTGCCAAATTCAATGCGCTCTTTCATCGGAGACATGCTTATCTCTCGCGCAACCCGCGATATCTCTGCTGGGGAAGAGATATTCCAGCACTACGTACCAGTAAAGGCTCATCCGGCACTTCGACAAGCTCAGTTTCGCGAGGGTTGGGGTTTCGAGTGCACTTGCTCACTCTGCCTTGGGGAAGCGAAGTCCATGCCGGAAAATATTGAGAAACGGAGACAACTGCTTAGGGACATCGAGAAAATTGCGAACAAAAAGCAACCGAAGACCATCGTGCCAGACGCAACTATCCGCTCGATAGATCGGTTGGCAAAACAGCTTGAGGAAGCCCATGAGTCCGATGTCTACGACGGCCTACCTCGCCTGATGCTCATATTCCCTACTATGTATCTGTTGGAAACATATAAGTGGAGGAAGAATCACGCAAAGGTTGTTGCGACTGCGATGAAACTACTAAGGAACTTTGGCTTCGTAGTTAGGGGTGACGACCCCCGAACTATTTTTGAAAATGTTGACTATCCGTTCTTGATGACAATCCACGTCGTTACGGCGATGAAGTTCGCAGCAGATGCATACAAAGCCATGGGTCAACCAGAGCTAGCAGTTCGGTGTGCGGAGGCTGCGACGTTTGGATATTCCCTAATTACGGGCTTTGAGAATGACGCAAGTAAGCTGGAAATTGAATGACTGGAAACCCGTAGTGGCCGGGTCGGATAGGGCCGCGCAAGATGTGGTATCGCTATTCTTCTGGGCTATCTTTGTTGGATCCTTTTCTAACTCATCTATTGAGCAATCCAAGCATGAAATTGAAGTGATATCAAATTAGACGCTGTTCTTGGTCTACTACCTACTCAAGCTTGGAATCTGATTAATCCCTGCCAACATTTCGAGGTAGCTATTGTTCCCCTGTGCCGTTATGTGACCTGCGCAGTTCATCTCGAGCCCTCCGCACGTCGTTGAACTTCGGTCGGCCGAGACTTCATATTACGAGGTTAAAATTTACCTTTCAGGTTGATATAAAAGACTTGTTTGCTAGGTACATGCCATGGGTGGTGCGGAGCATGCTGAGAATATGATTGGTTATATCTTGAGAGTCTCACTAAAAATGCTATCGGAGCTTTCAGCTCCGGGCGCCGACTAGTGGAATATCCCGGAGTTTATCCCTATCCCGACTACTCCGACCCTCAGTCAAATCGACATGTCTTGGGACACACCACATCCCTCTCCGTTTCCTTGCTATGCAACACTCTCAAGTAAAGTCCGCTCCGAGAGTACCGCTGCGCCTACTGAGACGCACCTTAGTATATTGAGTAGTCGGATGGATTCCGAGACCGTGGCTAGGCTGAAGAGCCAAGGGAAGTGGGGGAGTGCTTGCACTTCCTGTGCATCAGCCAAGGTATGATCCAGAAGGAAGTGTGCTCATGTGTTCATCAGAGTGGGCTAAAAACTTCTTACTATGTAGGCAAAATGTCTTCGCAGCAGTGATATACCTGGTGCCCCTTGTGACAGGTAAGTCATGCCGCTGGATCAGGTCTTAAGCCAGCCTTGAAACTCGCGCCCTAGCATTTAGGTGTTCAGCCTGGGGGTTTGATACAAATTGCCACTCGTTCTCATTTCGTTGCTGATATGACCTATTGTAGATGTCAGCGTTTGTGCAAAGACTGCACGAATCAAATTCATCACCCGAGGAAGAAGAGAGCTAGTAAGCCATCGTATGTGTTCTCTGAGCTGGAGAGGCTGTTCTTCAAGGCCACTATCTGATTCAAATTGCGGCATGCTAAAGTGACGAACAGAAGAACGGCACAGTTAGAGGAACGTTTGAATGGTCTCGTTGATCTGTTAAGGGCCACAGGGGAAATTCCAACAAACAGCGAAGCCGCTAATGCAACTGGATACTCGATAAATTCCGCAGACACGGGTTCATCTCCAAGCAACAGTGAGCTACACTCTCTACGTCTTCCAGTGTCGACGTCATGCTGACTTTCACAGTCGAAGCCAGTCCTTTACCCTGTCTGTCAAGCAGACGATCTCCTAGAGCTTCTTCAAGTACTGAAAAGGACTTTATTACTGTACCTAAGACGTATAACTCGTTTGCACCGTCGACATGCATTTGCCGCGCCGAAGTGCAAGAAGCTCCTGCTCAGACTGAATCCGACGCAAATCTTTTTGCAATATATCAACGCCATCTTTGTCAAAGGTTTCCCTTCGTCATACCTCCACCTGCAACTAGCCCTGCGGAATTTCAAACATCGCGGCCATTCCTCTTCTCATGTATAAAGATGGTTGCCTCTTTCAAAAACATGCAGTCTATGAGAGCTCAGATGTTCTTGATTATGCAACGAATTTCAGACCATATGTTGATGCAATCAGAGAGATCTCTTGATTTGCTTCTGGGTATCATTGTTATACTTGGCTGGTATCAGAATCATTGCATGATCCATGCCCAAATGGTCAATTTGATATCCCTAGCTACCGGGCTTCTCGCGGATATGGGCCTCAACAGGCCGCCAGAAATCCAAGAACGTACAAATATCTTGGTACTCAATCCGGACCAACCACTTCCACGGACGAATGAAGAAAGAAGGGCACTTCTAGGCGTGTGGTTTCTAAGCTCGTCGTAAGTAACGATAAAAGGCGTCACGCCGCGCTACTGCTGAAAATGTATAGGATATCCGTTGGATTCCAGAAAACTGATCCGATGAGATTCTCTACTTATATCCAGCAGTGTTTGCGAGAGCTGGAGTCCGCCAACGAGTGTGATTCTGACCGTTTACTTGTTCAGCTGGTTAGAATTCAGCATTTGACTCAGAAAATTCATGAGATGACCATACGGGCCGATAGTCCAGATGAGGTGCCTGGTATACCGAAGGCGCTGGTTTCAGCCTATCAAAGGGCGTTTCAGGGAGAGCTGGACAGAGTTCACTCTTTTCTATCTGACGATTTGAAGGAAAATGGTATGTGTTACACAGTGAAAAGCGCTAACCCTAAAGAATGGTAGTATTGTTATTTATTCAGTGCTAACCATACCTGGGTAGAGCTTATCACCTGTGCTTTACAAGCCGCAAGGCTTCATCTATACGAACCTCCTATTATCGATGCTGCATTGCTGGAATCACTAAGCAATACTATGACACCTGGCGATCCAAGCTTGCCATCTGCACTTGACATTTTCTATCTTGCCAAGGCTGCCCTTCGCACATTCTACGACCATTGGTTCAATATACCCATATCATCTTACCTTTACCTTCCGTTACCTGTCTGCATGCAGCTTATTTATGCCATCACCATGCTTTCGCGATGGGCGAAACTACTAGGACCTGGGCGCTCGGCACCTATTAAAGTACTACCGCCGCAGAAGCCCCTTTTCGACCCATCGACTCGCATCCCTTCAGGCCCGGCGTCATACGGCGCCGGCCTAGCACCTCCACCCGACTTCGCCTCGAAGTCGACACCATCACAGTCTCATACACACCACGATAACGGAAGTCATAGCTTAAATAATCATCTTGAAGTTGCAGCAGACCCGTCTCTCTCCAACGCCATCGCAGTTCTGAAAGCTAAGTTGTTGGCCTTACCAGACCTCAGCCTCGACATCATAGGAATTCTGGGTCAAATTCATGATAGATTCGAGCAAGTAAACCAAGAGACATCGAAAGGAGCTTGGAAGAGCACTATATGGGATCTGGGGGCTAGAAAGGTCCTTATTACTCGCGCTAAGCTAGAGCGGTGGGCCGAGATCATTGCATCAGGCTGCTCAATAAGCAGGAATCCACACCAAAAAAGTCATGCGCGTGTTCGGGAAGCTGACCAAGACTGCGGAATTGCATGCGGGATCGGCTTGAGCGATTCAGTGGGAAGTACTATGGAAGGAGTCGAAATAACTGATGGTGGCTACCTTGCTTTACCTGAGAAGGAATTAACATCAGCAGTGCTATCCCAAGGACAAGCCTCTAGAAGCCCACCATCTATGCCTGACGGCGTAGAAGGTTGGCAGAGCAATGCAGAGTGGTCAAACGACTTGTTTGATCAGATTGACCCTAGTCTATGGTTTGATGATACGGGAGATTGGGGGACGATAGCAATGCATACGGCCAGCAACTTGCCGAGTTATGATTAATTAGCAAGCATAGGATATCATGTTATGATAGGACCCGTCAAGTGTGCAAAATTATATTGAGATTCCGGACTACACAAGAACAAGATGAATACTAGTTTTTCGTTGCATTCTGCTTTGCAATATTGCTGACTGGATTTCCAAGGAACATGAATTACCTTAATCGCACTTCGTACTGTCTAGTATGAGCAACAGATTGGGTATTTGATTTATGTGCATAACTAGACACATTGCTAAAACTTTGCCGCAAAAACAAGGTCTTTCACTATCTTTCGGTAAGAGCGAGTGGTAGTTTCGAGTGATTCGATTGCCCACGCTTCATTTCTCTAGTTTATAGTCACATGTCAGGGGTTTAAACTCGAAGGCATTCTATTGAACCGTTTCTGGCAAGTAGTATTAGAACCCACGTTACACTGTGGCCGGACAGCGGGACAATTTGATGAACTGTAGGTACAGAAATGTTCCGGGGATAAGGTAATTCTCGGTCAGCACTCGGTAGTATCACTGGAATTTTGGCCGCTGGACACATCATAACGAAAATTATTCAGCGTGTTTGCCGATCCTGGTGTGCCATTCATACAAGTCTTCTGCGTAGTATTCGGCCATGCTTGGCGAAGCGGGGGTGGTGCCCTACCTACACTTCCCTGACTGCAGGGAGAACCTTTCAATGCCGAAATCAGCGGAGCCGTTGACCTAGTTGGTCTGCTGTACTGTTGCATTGAGATGGAGGATTGTCGGCGGATCACGAAATTGCAATGTATTTGCGGCATTCCTTGACCACCGGGCTACGTCATTGGAGCGTACTACACAAGCGGTTTAAGGGGTGCATTCCATCGCAGTACAACCCTGGCCATCTGGTCGATGCGCTGGATTCGCGGAAAGCTTCTGAAACCCGGGCGAAATGTCTTACAACTGGTTTTTATTACCAGGTTACCCAGCGCTTGGCGGCGGACGTCACCTTCCGCTTAGGAGGTTAAGAAACGTGATGTCTTTAAATAAAAAGCTAGAATTGAACATGAGTGGATGCTGCTGTTCTCCTGTTGCCAAAATAAAATTTAAAGCCAGAGGCATTATGATCTCGCTTGGTTATACAGCGGCGATAGCCCCTTTCCTAAATCTTATTGCTTATGTTGCTGCTGGCGTGGTTGAAGTGCGTCAATGCCCAGTCGTCTTAACGCCGGCTTACCCTGCCCCAGTCCTCGCCGAAGGATGGGAGGCTCAGCTAGTTGTGACGGGTCTTGCGAGTCCTAGGGGTGTGGCCTTTGACTCGAATGGAGCTCTACTAGTTGTTCAACAAGGCGCGGGAGTAGTGCGCATTACGTTCACTGACAACGGCGGGACATGTTTGGTCTTGAATGAAAGGACCACTGTTGTCAGCCAGACAGATGTAGGTTTTCGTTCAGACAGAACATAGCCTTTCAACCGACTAACATGTATAGCTTACTCACGGCATCGCGATTTCAACAGATGGCAATACCCTTTACGCGTCTTCTGCCGAGGCGGTTTATTCATGGCCCTATGACCCCTCAAATGGTGCAGTTGGCACGAGGTCAACACTGATCAATAATATGAC